CGCATCGNGCCCGCATTTCCAAGGCTCGAGCAGCATATGGAGGAATAAAATACCTTTAGCGTAGACGTGACGTTTCACTGAAGTTGAAAAGTCGCGTATACTGCGCCACTGTACTATCAGTTCTGCTTTACGGTTGTGAGACCTTGAATTTGCGGGCAGAAGACACCCGTCGTTTAGCAGTGTTCGACAATCAATGCTTACGTAGTCTGGCCCAAGTGGGATGGACTGAGAGGGTTAGTAACTAAGGAGTAAGTCTTCGGGTGTTTGGGAATGCATCAAACAAGAACTCACTATCTCATCGAATCCAGCTCAGTAGGCTCCGTTGGTTAGGACACGTTTTGCGTATTTCCGACGGTCGCCTACCGCAGCGCGCCTTGTTTGCAGTGGCTGTTACAGGTTAGAGAAAGACACGTGGAGGCCAGCAGATGACGTGGAGCCGAGGTATGAAGAAATTCACAGAACGATTAGGTAGAGTAGGTGTCTCTGGTCTTTTGGGTTGAGGTCTAAAAGACTCCGTAACCGCATGGTTGGAGACACTGAAGGTCATGGCTGCGAGCCGACAGCAATGGCGATCATGCTGTCACTTCTTATCAGTGCAGAATGCTTGAACTAGTATGTATGCACAGTTGGACTGTGTACTCCGCGTGTTGACCATAGAGGTTCACTTTCTTTTCTCGTCCCTAAAAATAGGCCCAATCCCTGTCCTCCTTACACATTCTCACTTATCTTGTATGCTTTATGAGTTTGGCAGAGATCAGTGAAGTTCGCTTCACTGTGTTACGCTGTACAATGATGATGATGATGATTACTAGTACTGCTAATGAGCAATAAAGGAGGATTTTGCATGTTCATCTGTTTTCCTCACTTTATCCCCGTTCCCCGCTCCCTCCACCAATCCGCCATGCACTCTGTTCCTACCGTTTGTTTGTTCTATTTTTCTTTCTCTCGCTCTCTCTGTTTCTCACTCGTCTATCGCCCGCTTCTGCTGAACCTCGTCACTCACAACGACAACGAGGACGATGATGAAGGCAATAGCATTATGGAGACAGAGGGGCACGAATTAATACCGCCACNTACGTTGTGCACCGTTTTTTTTTACCTGACATTGATTGCTTGCGATATTACTCGTCCGAACTCGACCCAAGGAAAATAAGAAACAAACTTGATAATGAGTAAAAATATAGCACCCCTATTGGGGATCTGGGTTGATAAGGGATAAGGGATAAGGGAAAAGGGATAGGAAGGAGCCAGATGGATTGATTGCGTTCTGCCCCGGGATTTTGAGTAAAAGATAAATTGTATTTCACAGGGCACAATCGACAAAAAATTGAACTGGTGTTCACAATGGACCCGAATGAATGGTGTATGTGTATGTGGGAAAGGGGTTTTCCGAAGAGATTACACCATTTGTTTTTTCTCTCCATAGTTTTCATGTGTTTGATTTTAGAAAATATTGATTCATGGCCAGAAGATTTTAGTGCACAACAGTGTTGATTTTTAATTGAAGGAACCGTTGTAGTTTGCTAATGCAGCTGCGCAAGTGTGTACCGGGCCAAAAATATTCATAATAATAATCATTATGAAATTGCCGAGACTCAATTTTTTGTTACTTTTTCCCAAACTGCGTACACCATCAAGATTTCATTTTTTCAGTTTTCATTTTACTTCTTTTTCATTGCATACACTGTGCTACAATTTTCAGGAATGAGGGAGAGGCCAATCAAAGGGCTGCCATAGAACACATAATAGGGAAATTCGGGCGGTGGTAGTGAGGTTTGAAAACATTCTCTGAGGTGATAATTTAGTGCCTTTCCCACCAAGCCACTATAGCCCAAGATGGTTCGAACAAAACATCGTCGGTGGGGATGTACCTACAGATACGAACCCCCAACTTCGGGAGATGGAAAGTAATCGTGACTTTTTTGTATGACGGAGGGAAACGTTAAAAGCCTTGGTGTTTACTAACCACAAGTTCCATTATGAGGATGGTTTGAGTTGATCTCATTCCCAGCTTGTGACAAAGCCTGGTTTACAATGCAAGATTCACCGAAGGTCACTGAGTTGTCGTAGTTCATATATCCTAGAGAACAAGTACATACCGGTCGTCAATGTGCAGTTGGGGGGGGGGAGTCGAAAGTCAGCTTCATAATCTCTTACGTTTTATCAGCTATGACAAGATAAACTGTTTGGCTCGGTGTGGGTAGTAAATCTTCCCTGAAGCTTGCGATGCAAATTCAGCAGTATGAAGGAACCACTATACGAAAGAGAGAAAATAGAGGCCAAGTAGAACTGTATCTACGGATCGTAATGATGCAAAGAATCAATGTTGCAGCTAAGACCTCAAACATTCGTGAAGTCAATCTGAGAGGGCGGTCGGGTGTGAGTTTGTGAAATGACATTGTAGTGTGAATATCCATGATGAGTCATTTGGGGGAAACCGGCAATCTCAACTCTACTATTTAGAGCAGTTAGCTTTTGATAGGCGTGGTAGCGCAGTCACCGGCTACCGTTAGTGGAGCTGCCTACCTACCCTCCTGTGTGCGTGTGGTCTTAGTTGCACGGTTTACCATAAATCGAGTTAACCGAACCGTTCCAGTTTTCTCATTATAGCACAATAATAATGGCTTGCCCAATCCCACACAATGAGGACAAGGTGACATTTCAGTTGTTGTTCACATGCCTTTTTAACTTTACCGCTATCTTTGATACAAGCGTAGTTGTTCTTTGCAAGCTCCAATAGATGCGGTTGCACTGGGCAAGGGAGTCGAGTCGCTGGTGATCTATCTTTCTCTGAGCCAGATGTTTTATGCGGTTCGAGTTTTCCTCACACATTTTAGCCATAGCCTTCATAATGTGGTTATTTGTTCAAAAAGATGCGAAATCGATGATGCTCTCGTTTCACCTGACTTGAATGGCATGGCCACGTTCAACCACATGTTGATCACAAATGATACATTCAATGAATAACGCGAAAGCACAACACTCTGACCCTCCTCGTGAGTGATCGAAGCCAAAATGAGCTTATTCCACGTGCATTTTAATGAAGTCAAAGTTTGCTCGTTGCCATTGGTGACTCGAGTTGTTTTGATCGGGGCAAGGCATGAAGGAAACGAATCGTGCGAAGGTAATTTGATATTGCACGAAATCAACTGCCACGAATGGTACAGAAATTTCCGAGATAGAAAGAAAAAGGAAATGGAATGCATGCGGGATCAAGAAACGAGAAACAGTTGGGGTGGGAGGGAATGAGAACGTGTCTAACGGATCGCCAACAAACGCTCACTTAGCGTTCTCACACACTGTCATCCTAATTCCAGGTATTCACAGGTTTTGGTTATCTGAATCATCAACAAATTCACTCGAATCTCGACAACCGCCGGGTTGGAAACGGTCAATATAATACGAAATACGCCACTTACATATATACGTATCGTATGATAATAAACTGTAGTATGACCAATCAAAAATTGTGACCAAACAAAACGATGATCGACATTTCACCGGTCATTTGGATGTGGCTAGGTCGAATAAACGACGATTTTCATGCCCCGTTACAAGTGGCATTTAAAATTTTTAAAAACTGAATTTCGCTTTTAAGACGATGATGGGTGTTGATAATAGTGGTTTTTGTGACCCACTGTTTTTGATCTGTGTCGCTCATTAGTAGACATGAATTCGAATTGTTCTGCCCTGGGGAGTGTTGTACATCGACCTCAAACAAAAACCACACACTTTCTTCTATCCTTAAGCTCATTGCCTTCGTGGACTCCGATCACGAGTCTGTCACATAGCGAATTCGCAATGGTCATTTCATTTTTGCTGAACGCATCTCCAGTGCAAAAGCTCTGCTGCACACGTCGCGAACTGATATAATATTCGTAAGAAGTTTCAGAACGTTGCTGTAGGATACTAGAAGTCTAAGGTGGGATGCACCTCTAGGTAGTGGATTCGGGAAGGACCACTCAGGTGAATCACCATGACTCGGTGGTCATCGGTTGATTGAATATGCGGTTGCGAACGGTCAGCAGTAATCTGTGAGGATGCATGTGGGCAGAATTGATATTGCTCATCAATAAAGGGAGAAAGATGTTTCCCATCTGAGGATATTTTCAGGTTGTACCTGACGATCAATCTCTCTGTATCAACCATTTGCGAATGTGTACTGCATTGTGTGCGAATCTGCCCCCCCCCCCCNCCCCCCCCCAACTGAGTAAAACTACTACGAACAGCATTTCTTCCCAAAGGTGGCACTTGATTCTGCAATGACTGAAGAGCCTCATCTTCAAGGGAAAAGGCTGAGTAGCAGCGGGACTGTCTCTTTTTGCTGCACTCCTCAAATCTTCTTGGATTCCTCTAAGAAGGCAACGTTTTCTGAAGCAGGAACAAGGCGTTGCAAAGTGATTGAATAAACTATGCACTAAGTAGCGCTGAGTAGCGAGCGAGCACTCGGGTAATGATGGTGAGATGGCAAAGGCCACCAAAATGGCGACCTGGAAGTCCTGAGTTCTAACCGCGCCACTGCCACTCTTATTCCCCATTTCTCTGGGCAACCTTTGTATGGTGGCAACCCCCTTCCTGAAAGTTGACTGTACATTTTTATATGCTATAAACGTGAAAGGAATTTGAAAAAGCCCATTTATTGCATATAGCTGGATTTTGTGGGAAGACAATAATAATAGATTTTGAAACCACCTCGAGTGACCTTTATTTTGGATGCTTTGCCATTCAATCCCTTGTCCAGACACTTTTGTGATCGTACTTAAAGGTCTCTTACGCGAACACTCCTTTTGAATGAATGTTCTTTACTAATTAAGGGTTGCATCAATTTTGAACAGGTGAAGATCATCATCATAAATGATGCGATTTTCCGTGCGTATATTTTCCTGCGATCAGTTTTGGGACAAGGTGAAACAAGATAAGGGTAATATACCTGTTGGGAATGTCAACCATAGTTCTTTGATCAAAATGGTTGAATAGCAACCAAAGAAAACGTGTAACAAATGCATTTTATCAAAAATATCAACTGCTCTCTGCCTGTCTTGACCTCTACCATCGGTCACTTATTCACTTCCCTTGGTATCACCTTCCCCCAACCAGATGGTCTGATCGATTGTCTGGATCCCGACTGCTGTGCCTCCGCACACTGCCGCAAATTGGCTCAACTTGATACGCGCCGCGCCAGTGATGCCGGTGGCAGCGGCGGTCCACGTCCAAATCGGAGTCTGAACCCAGCTGCGGAAGATGCGAAACAGGGTTGCGCGCACAGTGAACCCGCTCAGTATCATCTACTCATCACTCCAATGGCCCAGGCAGACAGTACGTTCTATGGACAGTTGGAGTTTTTGCTTAAACGGGAACAAATTATCATGCGGAATTTTGATCCTCGGTAAGTTGATTGATCAGCGCAC